AAAGGGCGAGCATATTTGGTGTGACGGGGATTCGAACCCACAACCCACAGATTGCGAGTCGAGTGCCCTAACCACCTGGTCATGCCGGGCCGTACCAACGGTCTCGAATATATGAAAGAACTAGCTGGAGTACCCCTCCCATGGACGTAAATTAATAATTAATGAAATGTTATCTTAGGTTATGAAAAGTTGCTTCCCTTATATGTAATTTTAAAAAAATATGCAAAAATGACCAGAAACACCTAAAATGCACATTTTTTACACGTATCTCCGCACGGACCCAACAAACGTTCATGCCAAATTTGGTGAAGATCCATCAACAGGGGGCGGAGTAGTGGTAAAAACGCCCATAAAAAAAACGCAAAATGCAAAACTGGAGATTTGTATGTACCCCGCATGGACCTAATGAACCTCCATATCAATTTTGGTGAAGATCCATCAACACCCTGCGAAGTAGTTACATGGGAATATTTATATAGATACACGATATTTAAGATGGCCGCCAGTCGGCCATTTTGAACGGGATCATTATCAAAATAAATAGAGCAAAGAAATCACTATGATGCACAGACCCATCAAGTGTAGATGAAATACGTTTATGTGTTGTGGAATTATCGTCCCGAACCAAAAATTGTTACGAAAAATTCAATATGTGTGACGGTCGGCCATTTTGATCACCATATTGAACCCTTTTTGAGCTCCGGACCACGTGTATCCTAACTACGCATTTATCAGTAATTATTTATGCTAAATTTCATGCTTATGTCGGCGTGTGAATAATTTTTCTCTTAATTAACAGCTGAAAAGTAGGCGGGAGAATACAAGTTTACGCTTCATCGTAGAACAAATAATATTATTATTGTGACGTAGGTAAGGATGGGTTCATGTTTCGTGTTAGATTTAACCCCGAAGTTTTAACCTTGACATTTCCTTGGGAGATCTCTCTTCACGTGAACAAGAAGTTGGAGTTATTCAGTTGATTTATATTTATGGTCAAGCTACTAAGGCTATCTGCCACCATTCCTAATTTTGAACTTACTGGTCAGAGGAAAGGCAGCCGGTCAGCAGCACCCTAACACACTAAGGAATTGACTGTTACTCTTATAACGCACCCACAGCTTAAATTGCGGGAAATATTTTATGGTATCGCACGTATTCGAACCAGGCTTGGGAAGTAATGCAATTGAAATAATGTTGAGCTTTAGTTCTATATGACCAGTTCATTCGCGTGTCAAAATACGCTACGTGTCACTCGTCTGCTTCTAACTACAAATTATCATATTAAAAATTTCTGACTTATCTTTATCCTTCATGACACTGTATTATAAATAGCTACTTATAAATTATTGCACAATTACCAGTAAAATAATTCAAGTCCTATCCATTTGTATATGTAAGAGTATTATTTATCCCTAAAACCAAAAAGCGAGGTCGTCCAAAAACGTCCAATCAAAAGAAGACAGAAAAACTGCGAAGGAATAGTAAGAATAAGATACTTTATTCTTCTTATTGTAACCATTTTCAATGCCTTAGATAATTCAGTGATTGACAAACTTGGATATGATTGGTCAGACCTCAACCAATGAAACTCATAAGAAATAACTGAAGAATAATTATCCTTGTTTCTACAACAGAGTGTACTAGATGCTTGAAACATGTTGAGAAACCGTTCTTACAGTGAAAGTCAGGGTCAAAATGGAATGGTCATGAGTAAAAGTAGCCTTGCTTTGGGAACACCAATGCCAAAACAACTTTTTTCATCGCGTTTTCGCAGCAAGAGATCGAAGCCTAAACTTTTTTCTTGTTAAAAACTGCAACTAAAAGGCATTTTCCGTACGATCGACTCACGATTTTAGGGTTAAACAAAAAACGCATTAAGTTTGCTATGGTATTTGTTGTAATGATAAATATATTGTTAATCACGCTGTAGACACATCTATTATAATAATACCGTTTTTGTCTGTCCTGAAAACGTGCGCACACCTTATTATCTAAATGCGCATGCAGGCGCGCACTTAATTTCAATGGATGTAAACAAAAGACGGATTTAAATATACTTTAGGAAACATTTTGTACAACTATATATTAAAAGCTTGTCAAAATTTTTAAAACGGTATAACGTTAGACCGTAGAATAACGTTATAAGTTTTGTGTGTTTCTGCTAATTTATATAAATATCAAATGTTTTACGGGTCTCTGCTAGTTTATATAAATATCAAATATTTGCAGGTCTTTGGGCATTTATATAAATATCAAATGTTTCGCAGGTCTCTGCTAGGTTATATAAATATCAAATATTTTACGGGTCTCTGCTAGTTTATATAAATATCAAATGTTATACGAGTCTCTGCTAGTTTATATAAATATCAAATGTTTTACGAGTCTCTACTAGTTTATATAAATATCAAATATTTGCAGGTCTTTGGTCATTTATATAAATATCAAATGTTTTACGGGTCTCTGCTAGTTTATATAAATATCAAATATTTTACGGGTCTCTGCTAGGTTATATAAATATCAAATGTTTTACGGGTCTCTGCTAGTTTATATAAATATCAAATATTTGCAGGTCTTTGGTCATTTATATAAATATCAAATGTTTTACGGGTCTCTGCTAGTTTATATAAATATCAAATGTTTTACGGGTCTCTGCTAGTTTATATAAATATCAAATATCTGCAGGTCTTTGGTCATTTATATAAATATCAAATGTTTTGCGAGTCCCTGCTAGTTTATATAAATATCAAA